GCCCTCGAATGTGGCGCTCTAGCATGGTGGAGCTGAGCGGGAAAAATCGGGCTCTGAACGAGTTCTCAGTCGAACGGATTGGTGAAGAAGCAGATCAGCATCTGGTCATGCTTCATGGGTACGGTGCTGGTCTGGGGTTCTTCTACAAAAATTTCGAGCCGCTTAGTCGCCTGAAAGGGTGGCAACTCCATGCGCTGGACCTCCTGGGCATGGGCCGCAGTACGCGACCGCCCTTTCGCATCAAGGCCAAGGAGCGTGAGCAGGCCATCGAAGAGGCAGAGGCATGGTTCGTGGATGCGCTAGAAGAATGGCGAGTCAAGCGCAACATCGACCGTTTCACACTCCTCGGCCATAGTTTGGGAGGCTACATGGCCGTGGCATACGCTCTCAAATATCCGGGACGACTCAACAAGCTTATCCTAGCTTCCCCCGTGGGAATCCCAGAGGATCCATATGCTGTGCGGGCAGAAATGCCTGCGCCAAACGAGTCGACTATGGCGAATGAGTTCACCCAGAACCAGCGCAATATCACCGAATCCGCCTCTTCGGTTCCCCCGGCTGAGCTTCAGAAAGGCGACAACAATATTCTGCTGAAGGGTTCCCCTACAAATAGTGGTGCTTCCCCGGACCAGCCGCCCCGGCGCATGGTCCCCAAGTGGTTCGCCTACCTTTGGGATGCCAACATCTCCCCCTTCAGTTTGGTGCGATGGGCGGGTCCGCTTGGTCCGCGCCTGGTCTCCGGGTGGACATCCCGGCGCTTCTCCCATCTCCCGGCAGAGGAGGCCAAGGCTCTGCATGACTATTCGTATTCGATCTTTAGCATGCGCGGCAGCGGCGAATACGCTCTATCGTACATTCTCGCCCCGGGCGCATTCGCCCGCAGTCCGCTAATCCGCCGCATCGAGGGCGTCGGTCGTCAATACATCCAGCAAAACCCATCCCCCGCATCTGCTGTCCTTGAGTCTGCGAAGGCCGCAGCTGCAACGACCACCTCCCAATCTACTTCCGAATCCTCCTCTACCAACTCTGCCCCCTCCCAGCCCCCCTCAACGACATCCAAGCGCGAAAACGGTCTCCCCATCATCTTCATGTATGGCGACCACGACTGGATGGACGTGAAGGGCGGAATAGCCGCGAAGGCTAAGCTGGACCAAGAGAAGGAGCGTATTCTGCAGAACGCGACGGTAGAGGAACGCGAAACGGACAATGGCTCAGCCAAGGTGGTTATCATCAAGAGGGCAGGCCATCATATCTATCTAGACGGATGGGAAGAATTCAACCGAATTGTCTTGGCTGAGATGGAGCAGGTGGCTGAGAAGGAGAGAGCTAATCGATCTTCATAGAGCTCTGCATGTCTATGCAGTCTAGTCTGATCAACCAAAGGTCAGAACTTTCATTTTTGTTTCAAGAGGTGTTCACGATATGTTGGGTCACTAAATAGCGGGTTTTGTTCTTTTGTTTTCTTGTGGAATCAGTAAATACATGATGGGTTCGTTTATTCATAGATCGGGCGATGTCTTGTCTCAACAGGTATCTGTCGGTCATGGACTACGTGGAATGTAAATACCTTAACGGTAGAAGTAGGAATGTGAAAAGATAGCATCGAAGTATAGAACATATAAGAAGAGTCGTGTATCATGATTGGTAATCGCTAGGAAACTGTAAATCTAACCCTGTCATATCCAGTCGGAAAATACTACTTAGATAGCACATTATCCAGACATCCCACAAAACAACGCCACCAAACGAGCGTTTACATGGCCATAATCACAATCATAACGATTAACTATAACGCCCGCTCCGTCCCCGACGACGCCCTGGTCAACTTCACCCCACTATTCGGCCCCGACATACTTCTCCTCCGATATCTCACCCCAGCGGGGTAATGCACCATAGACTTGGCCGAGGGTCTAGGTGATCGTCGCTCTTCACCTGGTGTCGTTGACCCGCTTGTGCTGCTTGTGCTACCGGGTCGGAAGGAGAAATATCCCCCCGATCCATCAGTCGGACTCGATACTCGAGGGATCGATGCGCCTGGAAACCTCTCGGTAGGTGAGGGGGTGCAGAAGAGCGTGTTTCTGTTCTGTTGTTGCTGTGATAGTGGTGGCGAGGTAGCCCTACGTTGTGGATGATCTGGAGCATCCGGCAGTGAGGATTTCGGGGACAGGCTAGTGGATAGTAAGGAGGTGGTTGCGGAGCGATGGTGATGGCGGGGGATGCTACTGTTGCCTCCGGGGGGAGGGCTGGTTGAAGCCATTTGTCGATGTCTCCAGGGGAGGGCTTCGAAGGGTTCGCTGTTGGTGCTGCTGCTGTTGCTGTTGTTTCGGATGGAGAGTAGTGGTTGAGAGGGAAGTTCTAGTCGCTCGTTGATGGATAGCCATGCTCTTTCGTCGTGGTCGGTACTGGTGAGATTTGGTGAGGGGGAGGCGGTGTCAGAGAGGAGATGATGGCTTGGATATCTTATCGTTGTGGCGGCGGTGGTGGTGGTTGTTGCTGTTGTTGCTGCTGCTGTTGTGGTTGCACAGCGCCAGCCACCTAGACCTTCGAAGTCGCGGCCTTCGTCGCCACTGATGAGGGTTAAAAGGGCGGAGGGGGCGGAGTGGCGTGGGGGTGTGTTTCTTGGGGGTTCATCTTTGCGATAGAGTGGAACAGTGCTGGTGTCTTGGGTTGAGGACGTGGAGGCTGTAGTGGTCAAACTGTTTGTTCGGCGAGGAGCATTGGGGCCTGGACGATATGTTGCAAGGGCAGTGAGGAGCCCGTTGTTTAAGCTGTGGTCGACGGAGCGACGCTTGGGCGTTGTGGAGGCTGCTGGAGTGGTGGGCTCAGATGCGGAGAAGTTGAGGAGGGAGGTGTTGGCAGCTGTTGGGATGACAAAGTAATTTGTGATTATGGCAAGACATAGTTCGATATATATGACAGAGAAGCGGAGGATAAGAAATACGATGGAAATGAAGGTGGTAAAGCATGCGAACAGTGCGAGAGGAAGGGAGAAGAGAGTGAGGAGGGGAAGAGTCACGAAGGCGGAGATAGAGGACATGAAGATGAGGGGACTAGGGCAGCTATAGAGCGGGCTATAGAAGGTGGAAGGAGGATGTTGAATACATGGGAATATATGTTTCCTTACTAGATATATGAGAAGCAAGTGGCATGATTATAGTAGGAAGGAATAGTCCTGCAGTGTCCATGCAGGGAATATAGCAATCATGATTGCATCCTCAGATCTAAAATGCGGAGAAGCAGACAATGAAGAAGCATGTGATGCTCCATATCCGCTGTCTGCCCCAGGCATCAGTACACCGCGTATCGCGTTCGTATCAGCTGGCTTTTCCTTACGTCACAGCTTCGCTCTCCATTCACTCATCATCCATCGTTTGTCAATCAACACATCCCCAAGCTACCTCTGGAAACATTATTCTTTTTGCCTTGACACTCGAACTCCTCCTCGGCTCTTTGGCATTTTCTTTTCACATGCACCATGTCGGAGACCGATCAGAATGATGCATTCCCTTGGCACTTGGGGGTGTTTGACGCCCATTGTCACCCCACTGACACCATGTCATCCATTGCGGAAATCCCCCAAATGAAAGTATCAACATTGACAGTCATGTCCACTCGCGGAGAGGACCAAGACTTGGTGCTTCAGACCGCCACATCCTTGACCCAGGGTCAGGAGTCCGGCCAAAGTTCGACAACAGGGCCTGTGCTTCCGTGCTTTGGCTGGCACCCATGGTTCTCGCATCAAATCATCGACGATGTGACTGGTTCACCCGATACCAATGATAATACCTCACCAATTGAGCGGAAGAAGCTGCACTATAAAAAGGTCCTTACTCCAGAGCCAGATGATGACTTCATCCTGTCGTTACCTGATCCGAAGCCGCTGTCAGAGTTGCTGTCGGAATCTCGAGCACGGTTGCTGGCGTATCCCCGTTCTCTTGTGGGTGAGGTAGGCCTTGATCGTGCTTTTAGGCTTCCCAAGGCGTGGACCGAGGAGGAAAAAGAAACTCGGGATGAGCGAATGACCCCCGGGTCGCGCGAAGGTAGACAGCTCTCGCCGTATCGCGTTCAGTTGGCGCATCAAAAAGCCGTCTTGGAGGCTCAGCTGCGCCTAGCTGGAGAACTTCAACGACCAGTTTCTGTGCACAGCGTTCAAGCTCATGGGGCGGTCTTTGACCTTTTCAAGGCCCTTTGGTCTGGGCATGAGCGGAAGAGCGCCTCACGGCGGGAGAGACGCCGACGATATAGCGTTGCAGATGCGCATGCAGAGAGCGACGCAGAGGACGAACGAAAGCAACAGGAGCCTGCAAAGCCAGAAGAAAAGTCTCTCCCATTCCCACCACGGATCTGCATGCATTCTTACTCCGGACCGGTGGAGCCATTGAAGCAATTCCTGCATCAATCCAATCCATCAGACGTCTACTTCTCCTTCTCTTCTGTGATAAACTTCGGTGGACCTTCGTCAAAGAAGGTCATCGACGTTATCAAGGCTTTGCCTGATGATAGGGTACTCATTGAGAGCGATCTGCATACGGCGGGGCAACAAATGGATGACCTGCTTGAGGAAATCGCTCGACAGATCTGCGATATCCGCGGATGGGATTTACATCAAGGCGTTCAACAGCTCGCTGAAAACTGGAAACGGTTCGTTTTTGGATGATACATCCAACTGCGGGATATCAGGCACATGCAAAGCTAGTAGTCCAGAGCCGGCATACGTACATAATCGCATACTGAAAGATTTGCGTTGTGCCAGCGATCTGAAGGTATGGAAGCAACGCAACATTCAGCCTATAGTGCTGGACCATCACGCTAACTTCCCAACCTAGCAAGCATTCGAACCCAAACTAGTTATAATACTCCAATTCTCCAGGATGTCTAGAAGCACTCGTATGAAATTGCGTCTAGACAATGGGGAAACGACATTTACGTTATTATAGACCAACCCAAAAAGAAGGCAGAAAAGACAATAACATGCTAGAGACGTCGTCAGTGTAGCCCTCCTATTTTACATGGTAATTTGTATTATCAGCACCACCCGAGTGTGGCGTCACGCTTTCGTACACAATGGTGATGTTATCTGTACGACGGATGTGCCCCATATAATGGCTCTCGTCCCCGTGATCGTTAACTGTCTGCAAAATGCTGTCCTGGCTGCCAACATCTGCGACCATCATATTGCCTTTGCTTTTCCGGTGTGCAGACCGCTTGCTGCTCCATTTGTTGGACTCGGGCAGTTGTGCACTGCTCTCTTTGTACTGATATCTGCTGGTACTTCTCAGACTGCGCTTTCCGAGAATTATTTCGAGAAGCGGTTGTAACGTGGGGATACATGAGGCTAGGATCACGACGTTCGATTCGATACTGTCGAGAATATTGTCAATGTCCGGGATTTTCTCCCAACAACGGCTTGGTGCCACAGAGTAACACAAATTGGCTTACCTTGTCCAGATCACAAGATCTGCTGTGGCATCTGCTATAGTGTCAGTCGGACTCCGGTCATACGGGGTTCCGTTAAAAGCAACTTACATGTCGTATCGCTGAGATCAGCAAGGCCCGGCAGCTGCATGCACTTAATGATTGCCATTGCACAAGCGCTATATTTTTGTTTGTTAGCGATTACTGATGACAATGAGCTTTCCGAGTTCTTGCTTACACCGCACTCAGGCCCAACGCTGTACACAATGCCAATCGTTTTCGCAGCGACATATTGAGTTTCAGCAAAATGATTGTCGGATAAATTGCCAAATAGAGATCCGTAAAAGCAGATACGGCTATCATTGTTTAAGCTCGGCTTCATTCAATTAGGGTCGCACCTACCTCCAGTGAAGATGGCATAGTCCACAAGGATCCACGAGCTCCGGCAATGTGCGCCCTTCGACAGAAGGGACGTGTCCCAAAGAGCTCTCGCTGGATCGCACATGGTAAATAGCACCAAGATGCAGATGCACGACACCAGTGCCACGAACCCCGTCAGTCCCCACAAGATCGCACGTTGTATAGTTGTCGGGTTCAGGAAACGGCTTAGCAGGGCTGCCACGGCTAATTTGGGTAAGGCGAAGGATATTATACCCAAGGCGAAGTTGATATAGTTGACTAGCAAAACGAGTTCTAGTCTATCTGCTATGACGATTGCATGTTTTCCGTAACCTAGAGCGACGTCGACCGTTGTTACTACAGAATATGATATGCTGAAAACCTAAATTGATCGTCAGAATTTACGGCAAAAGGACAATTGTGGCAGTCGGACCTGAGGAAAAGTGTAATTGACTCACCATTGACGCTGCGATCAGCCAGTCATCTGCACCTGGGTTGCGCAAGACTTTAATGCGGATGAAGAGCCTGGCTGCCACAGCTAGAATTGCAAGACTGGTCATGGCCCAAAAGACAGCCAATATTCGTGGGCCCTTAGTCTGGTGGGCATATTCTGGAGATACAGCAGCCATCGCTTCGTATCCAGCATCCACAGCTTTGGTTGGACATGGATAAGTCGAATTCCGCAAATATCAAACAGTCCTCCGTTGATGTGATTCCAGCAAAGAGTTCAATTCGCGACTCAGGCTTTCCAGAGATCCATCTAAGGGGTTTACGTACAATCCTTTCATTGTACTTTGACAGGATTTGCTTTTCCTCTAGTGCCAATCAGTGCACTAGCTGTGCAACATAATCCCTGTCTCTTGGAAGGCCGATTACGGACCATCTCGTGCATCCGAAGTCGCCTTAGAGTTTCATGGAGAATCTTTTGCCTTCAACCTTTATATTATTTTGGTTCTAGGCTCTGGAGCCGAGACACCTAGATCCAGAATAATGTAAATTCATTAAAACTCTGACCAGGAATAATGTGCGATCTACTACTGTCTGACACAAACGATAGCATCGAAGCCGTCCAGTAAATCCCCAGGCAAGCAAACCAATAGCGGCACAGAAACGTGGCACCCTCATAAACATCATTTAATGACGTGAAATCACTTTCGGCCTAGAGCCGAGCCTCGATCATATTGTCGGCCGAGGTAACATGCCCGACATTCCAGGGTTCAACACACTGTCCGTGTTGGAATAAGCAGGAGACGGTCATTGCTAGATCGAGATTAGTGGATTGGACGCTACTACGGAATAGTTGGGATCGATCAAGGAAGGCAAAGAGCACATGAAATGAAAGGTCCCAATATTAACCGAGCTTCTTGACCTTCCCACAGTTCCGACTTCCGAACGAGCTTCTGCCTGGAGTCCGGTACCACCAGCGACGGTGCCGGCGCCGGCGTAACGCACCATCTCACACCGTTCTATCCCTAGCGTACTATAGTGCAATGCCTTAGTGAGTTACGTACGCTGCTTTCTTTGTCCTTTTGGACGCCACTGCCCGCAATTTAGATTGATAATAAAAATTGCTGCTATACATTCAAGTATTTCCAGCTAATCGGTGATTTTTTAGATTGCAATCCTCTTTTGTGATAGACGATCAAAAGATAGTGCTTGTGCGCAACTTCAAAAGCGCTCCCGAACACTGAGTACATGTGGCTGAATGTCACTTTCCCCTACAGCACCATTTAAGGCTGAACATCATGAGCCTATATTGCTTGTCTTACCTGGACGATCCACCATGTTCTTGGCACCGCAGAGTTCCCCAACAGCCAAGTACACCGTCGCTACAGGGTCGTACCATAGTGCTAACATTTAACCATCTCCTATTGATATTAAATTATCCATCGGATGTCCCACTATAGACTAGTAACACATGGGCAGTTCAAAAGTACGATGCAGGCCCGGGCCTATGGATGTCAATGGCGCGAAGTGTAGTGTCATGCGCTATCCGAGTATCCCTGCAAGCCAGCAGTGCGGTTTGCGCGGTGATAATTTATTGAAAGCAACCCTTGTCCGTCTCAGGGGTACCTCTGCTTTTGTTACTGAGACACGGATGCTTCTAACAGCACTGGCATAGACAAACTTCACTACGCTCACTGAAACGCGTGGCACAAGTATAATCATTTCGCTGATGCCAGCTACTCCTGGCTCAAGATGACAGAATTACCCCTGGTACTTCGATTCTTGCGATTGTAGGATCTATTGGTATGAACCCTTGTACTTACACGGCACCTATCTCGCGAATCCCGTTTGGCGCCTGTTAATTGAGATAGACTAGTCCCAGAATACGGCGCAGCAGTGGCACTCTATAAAAGTGCGCTAAATGCTTTTGGTGCGAAGCCGTCGGGGCCGGACTCTATGTCATGAGCGGACGCCCGTCCTCGAACCCCGTCTATCTCTGATCCAGAACTAATTATACTGCTATTTCCGTGATCTTATTAGTGAGGGTGCCGCACTAAGAAAGCTAGACCATCCAGTCTCGAACACCCACCAGAAATCGGCGGAGAGACTAACACAATGTCATATTGCCGCTGCCACCTCACTCGTGCGGATCCTCTAAACTAATTCTCCGTTTCAAACCATCATGTCTAGTTACCCACGGTGCCAGCTAATCACAGAGAGAACATGGAGAAGGAGCTCTGTAAACCCTGTCTGTCTTCCGCCATTGCATCTAGCGATATGGAGCCTGCGTTAATGTCACACGCGTCTTTGACCTAGCCGGACCATTGGTATGAACTTTCATTATCTGCCAAGGGCAGTACAAGCAACCAACCAGGGTCATTACTACCCCTCTCCAAGGAGTGGAGTCACTAAGGCGTCGCCGTTACATTAGCGACCCTACTGCAGGTCGCCAGAGTGGGCAGACTTGAGATCAATGACCAGTGGAGGTTGCAGTATCAGGCTTGTCTCCTTGATTTAAATCCTCGGTGGGCACGGTGGGGAATGGAGGCTAACTATATCGCTCTAAGTATCATGGATAAAGTATTCTAGTGCGGGCTATATTGCAGTACTATGGAAGCGCGCAAGGCGAGAAGCCTACATAGGCTGCTCATTCCGTCTGGCTCCCGACCCATATTAAGTAGTAGAAGGCGCCATCCAAATAGACATTCTTACATAGCTCTGGTAACCCATTCCGAAAGCATACCCAAAATAACTACAAAATGCCTCATAAAAACGGCTCAACAGTCATTGAACATTATAACAACGGAGATCACACCAATGGCAATCACACCAATGGACACCATACGAAAGGCACCCAGTCCAACGGCCATGTGCCGTCCACATCGAACGTGAGCGTGGACACGATTGCCATTACACCCAATGCACCAGACGCTGTTCCGGCTCTTATCGACCAGATCGCATCCCACAAATCCATCTCTCTGGAGGATTCACAAGAAAGACTAAGACTGCGAGATGCTGCGAGATCCTTAGCGAATGCGCTGGAGACCCCGCGAGAAACGATTGTTAGACAGTGCTGGACTACAGTAAGTCCTTGTCTTTTAGTTGGATTTTAGAAGATGTTTTGCGATGTGTATTCAGGCTGAGATCTAACTAACGGTTTCGGCTGTAGGCTACTCTGCACGCTGCTATTGAAACAGCTCTAGCTATAGGTGTGTTCAGCGAGTTATCTCGGGACAAACCCAAGTCTGTCGCAGAGCTTGCGGTGACTACACAAAGTGATCCGGTCTTGTTGTGTAAGTATTCACTAATCAACCTGCAATTCTGGCATGTATTTCTCAGGTCGAGTTGTGTTTTACTTACGCCTCCCAGCGCGCATCATGAAGCATCTGGCATCTATGACCGTAATCACTGAAGCGGGACCGGACGAGTACATCGCAACGAATCTCTCGATCACACTGAGTGTGGAGCGATATGGAGATGCTTTCCCTGCCCTGTAGGTGACACCCAGAATGCCAATGAAAAGGTTAAGGTACTAATATTATTTTTACAAATCCCAGCTCAGGTTGGTTATACCCAGGTATCTACGCTATCCCAGCCTTCCTTAAACAAAACGGATTCCGCAATCCAACCGATCCCACCAAGTCCCCATATCAGCTGGGACAGCGTGTCGACGAACACTTCTTCGAATTGGTACAAAAGAACCCGACCCTTGCCAAACAATTCGGCAATCACATGTCGGCGTACCATCAGGGACGACCGAGCTGGATGGACAAGGGCTTCTATCCAGTCCAGGAGCGGTTAATTGAGGGTACTGAGCTGAGCGAGAAGGACGTCTTCTTGGTTGATGTGGGTGGTAGCACCGGGCACGATGTGTCTGAATTCCGTCGCAAGTGGCCGGAAGTGCCTGGGCGTCTTGTGGTGCAGGATCTCCCTCAGGTTATAGAAACTGTGAAGGACGTGCATGTGTCCATTGACCCAATGGCGCATAATTTCTTTACGGAACAGCCGGTGAAAGGTAAGGCTTGAAACGGTTACTTTTAGCGATTGATAGATAGGGCTGACAAGGTTCAGGGGCACGGGTGTACTTTATGCATTCGGTTCTACATGACTGGCCTGATGATGTGTGCGGTCAGATCCTGTCCAACCTTATCCCAGCCATGAAACCGGGGTACAGTAAGCTGTTGATCAACGAGTATGTTGTCCCCAGTCTCGACGCGCATTTCGAGACGACAAGCCTTGACATGATCATGATGTCAATTGCCTCCGGGGAACGGACGGAGAAGCACTGGACTACGTTGATTGAATCGGCGGGGTTGAAAGTAGTCAAGATCTGGACGGTGGAAAAGGGAGTGGAGAGCTTGATAGAGTGCGAATTGGCGTGAATTCAGGACCTGTCTGCGATGCAGGAGAATCCGGTATGAGTACCATGGATCCGGTTAGCCGTACATTTTTGTCAAACACTTTATCTCGAGAATGTAGTATATTGATAAGGAATTTTACCAACGGTCCAGTGAGAGAGAAGGAATGGACGATAGGCGGACTGATAACGGAGCTGACGCCAGGAGTGGATCCCATGGTGGATAAGCGCACGGAGGAAGACACCGGCTGTCACACAGATGCAGGGCAGGATAATGGGAGGGGTCCTGAGCGTGGGTAGTAAACTAGGTATGCTCTAAACTAACCATGGGCAGGATGGTAGCATTCAAACGGCGGGCAATGACAGGCTTCCAGAAGACGAGGAGAAAAAGCATCGAAGGTCTGACTAAATTCAAGGGAATCGATCAGCACCCCGCCACGTGACTCCCCCAGACCCGCCCTGTATGGGCCCCACCCGATTGCCCGTTATCGACCAATCACAACCATGCCGAGCAAAGCAATTCGACTTTCCCGCCTTTTCTCCTCTTCAGGTCTGCCATTTCTCCTCCTCCTTCTCTCTCTTCTTCTTCCCGTCTGCTTCATTCTCCTCTCCAATCCTTCTGTTCGTGGGTAGATCATGTCCTGATCTGACCTTATGCTCTATCCCTCAGATCTCTCGGATAAGGGATGACGAATTAGCGAGTCTCCGGACCCTTGGATCTGTGTCGATGTTTCGGCAATGACCTCCGCAGCGCACAGCAGTCATCCACCCGCCGGGAATGGGGTGACTAAGCGCAAGTCAGGTACGCTCTGCAATGTTATCAAGGACTCTGCATATCTCTGCTATTCCTCTCATGGTTCTAATGAAGGTTCCCATCTAGGCTCCGCGGCCTGCGTCCACTGCCATCGGCGCAAAGTCCGATGCGATGCCCGCATCGTCGGTCTCCCATGCTCCAATTGCCGTTCCGCGGGAAAGACGGATTGTCGGATTCATGAAAAGAAGAAGCGTCTGGCTGTGCGATCAATTCTCGACCCTGTTCCAATCCGCTGTCGACCACCTCCTGCTTCTTCTGAGCCTACACACAGACACTCTTTGCCCCTCACGGCTACAACCCCGCCTGACGCTTTCACCACCACCTTCCGCGGCGTCCAACCGGAAGTGACAACGCCTGTCGCACCTCCCACCTCAAGCCTACATAACCTTCATCAAACGCTTAATCATAATGTTAATCACCACCCTCCCCATAATGGCACCGGGTCAGCTTCAGAATCTCCGACATATAACCGTCCTCCGGGCCAGGATGTCTCGGCCGAATCAGACTCACACGCGGACTTGGAGAAACGACTAGTGAAGCTGATCGATGAGGAAGAATCGGGCAGTCGGGAGATTCGTCGGGGTGTGCGAGCTATATATGTGGGCCATGAGCTGTCGAACATGTCTTTCTTGATCCGTCAGCAACGTGACAAGGATGACGACGTGTATCACTTTGCAGGCAATGAGATTCCGCGACGACAGTTAAGGACCGGACATGATCAGCTGCTCATGGATGCTCTCACTTTGCCTGAGCCGGCCCTAGCAGATGAGCTGGTGCAAGCTTACTTCGACCACGTCAACCCGGGGTATCCTATCATTGACGAGGACCTGTTCATGGCGCAGTATCGCAATCGGGACCCCGCTGATCCTCCCCCAATATTGCTGCTACAAGCCATCCTACTCGTGGGAGCCCATGTCACTCGTCCCAAAGCAGAACGCGATGCCCTCAAGGACATTTTCTTCCGTCGTGCCAAGTGGCTGTTTGATTCCCGTATTGAGCGTAATCGCGACATTCTGGTGCAAGCTGCCCTCCTCTTGACTTGGCACTCAGATGGTGCCGACGATGATGTTGCAGCGAATGCGCACTATTGGGTGGGTGTGGCTGCCAGGATTGCTACTGGTCTTGGAATGCACCGAAATCCTATCTCCAGCCGGTTTGTCTCCCGTGATCGCCGAATGTGGAGGAGGCTATGGTACATCATAGTGCAATTTGACGTTATGGTATCACTTTCCTATGGTCGACCGCAGGCAATGTAAGCAGATATCCCTCCTCTCCTTTCCAATTGGTTGCTTACTTTATACACAGCAATCTCGAAGACTCCGATGTGTCTCCATTGACAATCTCCGACTTTGAAGGCTGCGGACCTCGTGTTCAATCCGACTATGTGATCCATTTCTCTGAACTCTCAGTGATGATCTCGTACATCGTTCGAAGCCGCTTCGGACTACGAGTGAGTCCAGAGCGCCGCAAAGCCGTCCTCCTCGAAGCCGACGAAGCCCTTGCCAATTGGTCTCTGAAACTGCCCGATAAATTACGTCTCCGAGCATCCGACATGGACCCCTGGTCCGCCATGCTCCATCTCACCTACAACAACTTCCTGATCCTCCTCCACCGCCCACACCCCCGAGCATCCGCCTACTCAGATGACTACGGGCCACACGATGCCGAAATCTGCAGTGCAGCCGCAGGAGTCATCACCTCCATCTTCGAAGAACTCCGATTAAACGACCGCCTCAAGTTCCTCTGGTACTCCGGCGTGCACACCCTCTTCACAGCCATGATCCAAGTCCGCGTCGAACTCCGCTTCTCCAACCCCGTCCTAGCCATCAACGCTCTCCGCCGCTTTGATTCAGCCTCCTACTCCCTCCGCGAGCTAGCAAGCTACTGGTTCCACGCCAACACCATCCTCCGCCTCTTCGAAGACTCCAGGCGGCTTCAAGAAGACCTCCGAATGGCCACCAGCGAACGACCACCCCGCCGCTTCAGCAACCCTCAAGACCAACTCAAAACCACCCTACACTCCACTACTTCCACTTCCACTTCCGCACCCACAACAATGCAAACAACACGAACCACTAACCCAAACCCCACAGACCGCCCCCTTCCCTTCGAAGTTCCCACCCCAGACTCCTCCACGAACCACCTCCCAACAAGCCCACACCACAACCACCCTCAACCTCAGCCCCAACAACAACAACCTCACCATCATCATCTAGACGCCTGGATCCCCCCACCTCCACCCTCCGCCACCATGACCCCCGTCGTCGACGCCATCGACGCCGACGCACCCCGCGAATCCCTCGACTGGCGCCAACTCTTCTCCTTCACGGATCTGGACCAACCCGTGCTACCAATGGCCATGGAAGGACTACCCGAGTTAGAGGATGAGTGGCGTCAGATCTACTGGCAGGAGACTCCGATGTCGGATCTTTTGTTAGATGGAGGGTGGATGCATGGATAAATATCTCGTACCCCAGGTGTCTGGATCTATGGTTGTTTTCCTGTTAATTTAGCGAGTCGTGGTATCTTCATTCTGGTTTGGTTAGATTGGCATTTTATTCTTATGATGATGACTATGATGATGACATCTCGTTTCAATTTGTTTCTGTCTATCGCTCGTCCCGTTGTTTATATGATGGACATTTAGCCCGTTCTTCTCTTGAGTACGTACGCAATTAGGGGGATTCACGTTACACCGCGCAAGCCGTTCATGAACTATTTCCCGTCGTACAGAAGTTATCTAGCGGTAACCATAAGACTTGGCTTCTACTGTACGGTTTGAAATGCAACCACGTGATTTTTTTTGGCTGTCAGGGGACAGTGAAGTCCAATCCGTGTTCTATTTGTCAGGTTCCTGTTGTCTTCTTCTTCTTCTTCTTCCTCCTTCTGAACAGTATCCCATACTCTGCAATAAATAATGACAAAGACACACATACACACGCAAATAATAGATACTCAACTCAGACAATAATTACATGTAACTGGCCCCCTAGCAATCGGGTGTGGGTACCCCTTTTTCTCTGGTCAACCATAACGCGCAGATGAATATTGTACTCGTAGGCATGAAAATATATGGGCAATTTCTCTCTCTTTTGGTTGGCTTGATGTTGAGAGGTGAGTTGCTTTGGTTATATGGAGGTGACTGAGAACGCCAAGTGGGCCTGGCAGGGTCGGCTAGTGCTCCAGCCGGTTGTAGAAGAGAAGATGAAGAATCAGAAGCAAAATAAAACCAAATCATGGGGGAAAAACTATCTCTCGGCTCCGTTGTTTCTGTCGTATTGCTTGATTCGTGTTCGTTCCGTTAATATCCCGTAAGTAACCCATTGTATCGTACCGCGTAATTAGGATCGCTGTACAGGGAGTAACATCCGGAAACGTTCGTCGCTTGGGCCTGTGATCCCAGCCGCCTTTCATGCTGGAGACGAGGGGCATTCAGCCTCTGCAGGGTTGAAGGGGGGCTGATGTTCGAGTCTCTGCTTGTCCGATTCCGAAGAAGCCCCTTGCTGCAGGATAGTCGTCAAGTCCAGCGGATGGTTCTCCCGCACAGTAGCATACTAATAAGATTCACCGGTGGTGCCGTTGTGCGGCTGGCCGACCATCGGGGGGTAGCCATAAGCGGAAGTGTCCTGCTCAGACGGGTCCAAGCTTTGGTTCATGATATTGTTGGCGCTATCAGCAGCATCAGGAAACCCTGCACCAGGTCCCATTGGACGGCCACCAGGACCGGCAGGCCCGGGGGCCCCTACGGGCGCGCCAGCACCATATCCACTGCTTGTTGGACGGTTCTGGTGCTCGCCTCTTGCGGATTGGGTCTAGAGGAATAATTAGCGTCCGGATACGTCATGAAACTCAATGTCGCCTGTTACGAGGGAAGGCAACATGAATGGGGACGGTTGCACAGGTCTCACCTCGCGATACTTGGACAGGTAAATCTTAAGGGCCTCTGCATAGTTTTCAAACCCGAGGGAGGTCATGGCGAATAGAATGTCCTCCCCGTTGACGGTCTTGCGCTTTTCCTGCTGGCATTTCTCGGAGGCTACGGACAAATGGGTAAGACTCCGTCAGTGAATGAGCTTGTAGAGCAGGTGTGGTCGCACCAACCTTCGCTAGTGATGAATGAGATAAACTCGCTCACACATTCTTGCATACACTCCTTGGCCTCCTTTGCGATTTTGGCATTTTCAGGCAAAGCCAGCTTCATGATACGGGCCACTTAATTTGCAACATTAGTATCCTGACCTGGTATCAACTGTGATATATGCGGGGGTCGCAGGCATGAATGAAAGTGTTCAGGCGTCTTTTACTTCCAGACATTAGGAGGGTAGGCGGGCTTATATGATGGGGAATGCGCGAACAACCAAGAGACGAATGAGGGAAGAGCACGGAGAGGCGTTATCCAAGCCATGAAAACTCAAGTCACAAAACATACAAAAGGACTGGCGGTTAGGACCAAATAAAGGCAACGGGGGTGTGCGGTTGAGGGGGGTGGGTGAACCATCATAGTAGGGCAAGAGGCGGTTGACCAGCAGATAAACGTAAGGTACGCGCAAATCAGGAAAAAGAGAAAGCTGCAAGGGAACGCAACTAACCATTTGCAATTGGCAGCCATCTATCCTGCTCCTTTACCTCGAACTCTCCCTGACCCTGCGCCTGAGTGTCTTGTTGGTCCTTATCCATTTGTTCCTGGTCTTCACCCGATTGAACTTCGGGTTCCACCTCCGGTTCCTTCGAGGGAGAGGTCGACGACATGATTTTTAGCTGTTCTGAGAACGTGCAGAGATACTGGATTTAGAACGGGGGCTTGTCTCTAACTGCTCTGTTGGCAAACCACGTCAGAGCTGCGTGCAGCACGCGGTGGATTCTCGAACTCGCGCGCTATGATACAGCCGCGCCAAGGACAACGAGGGTGCGTCTGGCTGGGCAGCGATTCGCTTCACGACAGCCTGAACGGGGAAAGACGGGCGTAGTTGCGCGTGTGGGGGATTGGCAATGCTTCTGCGATAGTCCTGCTTTAGCGTCGTGAGCAAGGACCGGCGGGATCTATTATTCGACGAGGAGGGTGGAGGGAGGGGGGTGGGTTGTGTGTTTGGTCGCAGCAGGCGTTTCTGTTTGTTATTGTTTTCTAAGGTACTTTAAATCTGTCTTGCCTGTCTGTCTTTTTGGGATTTCCAGCGCGTTTTCTTTTTCGTATTTCTTTTTTCTTTCTTTTTTGATTTAATGTCTTTCTTCTTCTAAATGGAAAGATCTGATTTGATTAGCCAGAGTAAAGATGAATACAGCACCAGAAACCTGGAAACTCTTTTTTTGGCAAAGCCCCTGTGGCTCAGTGTGGAGGGAGGTTTAGAGGGCAGCGCACGCGCGACTGCAGGAGTGGTCACGTCAGCAAGCCATGCGCACTTGACAGTTTCCAGCAGCCCGGAAGATCTGGGAACAAGTCGGGGCGGGATGTGACGCGGGTAATGCAACACGGAAGTAACCGTGGGTCAGACTGGCAGTGTGGCACGTTGCGCAGCTGGGAAAAGCAGCAAAACCAACAATTAAAGAGGGAGCAACCGACCAGGCGATTGGATCAAATTCCGGTGGCCCACGACGCTGGGGGATGGATGGGGCGTGTAGAGTTAATGGCTTACCGTCCAGTAGAGAGCAGGCAAATGGTCGTAGGGCAGGTATTACTGGGGACGGCCGCGATGCGCGCAGCAATCAATTGGCGAACCAGAAGTCCCTGGCAAGACGAGCAACGATCACTGGTTGTTGCGAGAAAGTCCCCCGACACCAATGAGATCGGACGGAGATCTAGATATAAACGGTGGTTTTCCAACGGAGGGGACTTGATAGATGAAATTGATGATGATGCTAGATTTAATGGAATCGCGATTGATGAGCGTTGAATGCTTGCTCACTCTCAAGAGATAGATGAGAAAGAGAGAGAAGAGGGAAGAGAGAGAGAGCGCGAGAGAGTGAGAGACAGAAAGGACGAGGAAACGCGCGACGCTGCTGATGGCCTCAGGACTCTATTACGCTCCCCTTACGCGGTATCCTTGTGTATTGGTCTGTTTTCGGAAAGGTGCAGACCCTCAATTGCGGGTGAGGGGAGATGAGGGGTGTCACAATACGGTATTACACGTGATGTCGGCCTGACATCGTCATCATCAAGTTTGCCAGAGATGAACCATGCGATCGACAATTGGGATACATCTTCTCGGGTCACTCTGTCGCGAATATATTACGGAGCATCTGCAGTATAGTAAGTTTCAGATTTGGCTATCTCCGAGCTCATCCGTCTCGAGCGCAAGCTTTCCCCATAATCGAGGCTATGGCCCCCGTTGATCTGTATCCTGCATCTCTCTGGTCTGACATCCCATGAGCTTGCACTATGGGCAAATTTCTGGCCGATCTAGAGTCCACATCTTGAGCAGACTGAAATAAGAGGCGTTGCTACCCTGGCTGAGACTGCATGGTCAAATGTACCGAGTTCATGCATGGATGTAGAATCCTGGCTAAAGTGTGGACCGGATAGCAGGTGTCATATCAGGCACCAATGTATAAATGGATCCTTCAATCTTATACCCAAATCGTCAAACAAAGCAGTCAAGGATGACCGCATGGAAGCTGCTGATAAACAAGTAGTAGTAACCACTGTCCACACCACCATCTTGAGGATTCCTCTCTTCAAGTGTGAAACAGCCTACTTTATGGTTGTCATCAGGCGAGACTACTAAGTGGAACCTCTGCAGCCCAACGCTCGAAGATGGTGGGGATAAGGGACAAAGGCACCCATCCACCAAGTGCTTCATTCACGTTATCATTAAGTTTGCAGATTCATACCCAACAGTCACCACCACCACTACTTGTTGATTTATAAAGGTTACAAGGAGGGTAGGATCTTAGCCCAGGACTCAGGAGCCATGACCTCCAAGTATCACATCACAATCACTTATCTACATACAAAGCGGCCTGAGGCTATCATGAAGCAGCCAGTCAGAATAGCTACAGGCGTCCTTGTGCCTGGACAATGTGACCAGTAGAGTAGATCAAACTTGGGCGAAAGCAAGCAGCCTTAATCCGGTCGGCTGCAGCTTAGACGCCTTGTCCCACTGAAGCCAGCTCACCCGAGCCACACCCCTCCCCTTCGACGCATAAGCGCCTCGAGCGAATTGGTCAATATACGCGCCCTTGGAAAAACCCGCCGGAAAGCCAAACCTGAGTCAATAGAAGAAGAGATCAATAAAGAAGATGATAAGGAAGGCCTCGACACCATGCAAGAATGAAGATCACTGCTAATAGCTATCATATAAATCAACCATTAAATTCCCGACCGGCATCATCAAACAAAAGCTTAATGTCTCACTTCTCGCATTTCAGACTGATGAAATCTTCCTCGACCCGGCACTGCTCATTAGGCACGAGTGCATCGGAGGCCGCAGCTGTCTTTGGTAGAACACCGGTCCCTGTCGATTTGCCTCATTCTGTTATCGATGACGTGTGGAACTTCTGATTCTTTGTCTCACCCGGTTTTGGGTAGTCATAGTCACAATCTTGGTGGTTTGGGGATTGCAAAGCATCACTGAAGCGCAAACAAACGACCGTGCGATCACCGGGCACTTGTTGTTAACGCCGCAGTCGCAAATCTCCTAACTCCGAGATATATACTAATCACTACAGTAGAAGTCCGTGGTGAAGTGAAGAGGAACATTTTCATTTTAGACCCCACATATGGGAAAACCGGCCACTCCTAGGCCGCCTCAGCAACATACCAAGCATTTACATAGAAGGCAAAGGGAACACATGACAGCGAAGGGAAGAGATGATGAAAATGGAGAGCTAGAAACGGACCGGGTATGTATGAACATGCATGTATGTAATGTGAGGAACTATGAATGGTCAAGTAGGTAGACTTCTCCCAAGGGTTGGCTTGCTTGCTTCCATCCTCCCTCCTGATACAATAATTGGGTTGATAAAGTAAGATTAGATGGGCGGTCTAAAAGGTTCTTGTAAGGTGAATATAAGGGTTTATGAAAGAACGGCCCTGGTGACCGTTCACGGCTCGGTCCAGTCCACCTGGTCTGTTACGGGATCGGAACCGTCCTTGGCATACGTGATACGGAGACGAAGGCGGAGCTTAGGTGGGAGGGCCTGAAAGAACTTTAGTCAAAAGCAAGCAAAAATGTCGCGGTTGGTTGTCACTTACCCCAGTGAGTGCTGCAACTTTGAGCATCTGGATACCTTCGTCACCAGCATCGAGATCAGCCTTGTTGATCGCGCTGAGCTGTAGCTTCTGACTCTTGGGCACGGCTGCTTGCAATCCAACATTGGAGAAGCGGCCAAAGCTTGAAGTGTTGCGGAAACGAGCCTGAATCTGCGCACTCCCACCGCTGCCACGTTGGACCTGGAGGGCAAGGGAGAGGTCGTTCTTGTTGAAGGCCGTGTGAGCAGGAGCCGCCGAAGGGGCAGGAGCGGGTGCGGGCGAGGCAGAAGATCCCAGGCCTGCTAGGAGATCCAGAGAAGATGCAGGCTCGGCAGGTTTGGGAGACGGCGTGCTTCCGTTCGTGTTGAACAGGTCCATGATAGCGCTGGTACTGGCAGATCCTGCAGGCTTCTGTGCGGGTTGAGGAGAAGGTGAGGATAAGCTGGAGTCGCCGCCGAGGATATCGGCAAGGAGATCAGCCGTATTCTGGGAACCGTTGGTAGTTGGGCTGGTCGGTGGGGCGTCGCCGCCCATGAGGTCCAGAAGCATGTCCTGCTCGGCCTGTTTAGCAGGCTTCTTGGATTTATCTTTCAGAATCTTGCTCTGGCGCTTCTTGGTCGGTGCACCCAACACTCTTTGTTCTTCGCGAATCTCAGGCGGGGGCATGCGTTCGAGAACTCCACGACGAATCTGGTCGTAGCCGAACAGGTTGACATACTCGACAGCCCGCTGTTGAATCTCAACACTCAGATCGGCAGTCCGGCTGCTGAGGAAGCGACGGAGCCGCTCAACCTGTGCTGCATCGGTCATGCGCACGGTGAGCTTCATAGAGGCCGTAGTGATGTACTCCACCACTGTTTGCGTGGCGTATGTGCTATTGAGGATGTTGGTGAATAGGTCAACAATGTCGCTCTCCCTGACCTCTTTGACCAGCTCCTCTTCCTCATACTGACCGCCACGGAGAAGGTTGTCACCGTACTCGCCAATGACCCAGGTAGCCGCAAGGGTAAGACCTTCTTGCGAGATGTCTTCTTTCAGCGAGAGATAAAGCTTCTGCACAGAGTAGGTCTGCAGCTCTGGTGTGGTGGCGATGAGGCGAACAAAAGACGAGAGGATCTGCTCCTTAACATAGGCACCGGCAAGCTTGAGTACACGGAGAATCGTATCAACATGCCAGCGTTTGTTGGGGGCATATCGGTCAGCAGCGATACCAATTTGAGTAGTCATGGCTGGCTTGAACTCGTTGTCGGCCACTTCCAGGAAGGCGAGCAGCTCGCGAACGAGAACGCGCACGTTACTCTCATTGATCAGCATGAAACTGAGATCAAGGGCACGCCTTCTGATACTGATGTCCGGGTCGCGGAGACACTCCAGGATGGTGTTGCGGTGCCGCTGAACGGCGTTGGGCTCAATTGCAACAACTTTGTTCAGCGTGTTAAGAGCAACGTAACGAATATTGTTGTCCTTGTTGGTCAGGAACTTTCCAAGAATGTTAACACCCAGCACCCTCAGTCCAGAATCTGCTTCGATATCGAGAATGGTCAGGACAGCCTCGTAGAGAATA